TTTATGCTCTGTTTTATCAACAGGTTTCTCAGTATTATCAACAGAGGTTTCAATATTATCAACAGAGTTTTCAGTATTATCAACAGGGTTTTCGGTATTATCATGAGCAAATTTGGTCTCAATATTATGAATACAATCAGTGACATTATGAATTACATTGGATACGGTGGCTCTTATATGAAAAGCATGTAGCAATTTATCAGAACTGTTCATTAAATGATCGATAAATTTAAATGCTGAATGATCAGGAAAGACGTCATATCCATGTTCATGATAAAACTTCACCATAAAATCACCAGAATATTTTGGACGATTATTTTTACCCACTGATAGTGCTAAAGCGAGTATTGAGCCTGTTGAGGTACCAGCAATTATATCAAATAAATCTGAACATTTTATGTCAATATCTGGTTTATCAGGATTTTCCTTTTTTATTATTTCTGTTACTCTTTTTTCGAATTCGGAGATAATCGTGGCTGGAATGATACCTCGAATCCCACCTCCGTCAATTGAAAGAATATATTTTGTGCCTTCCATAATCTTTTCATAATTAAAAAAATTTTTTTTAAAAAAAACAAGATTTCGAATTATGATATTTTGTAATAAAATTGATCAAGTTTATAAAATGAAATCATATTTTACCTATAACTATCTTATCGTTTTAAAAATTGTATAATGAATTACTTAAGCCGACTATTACTGTTGGCGTTAATAATCAAAATCCTAACAGCTAATATTTCAATTCTGATATTTTCAGATTAAAAAAAAAATAATAATAATAAATTAAAAAATTGCAAGCCTGATAAGATTTTATATATAAATTCTGCTACGTATTACTATGTACGTGCTTTACTGGATTGAATTACGCAATATGTGAACATGTGAATTACAAACTATTATAGTATTATTTACGAATTGAGAATATCAGACCGCATCATAAAAATGATTTTTAAGTTATACATTTATACATATTAAGAAAATATATAAAAATGGCGTGCATATTAATAAGAGTTTGGCAACTAAATTCGACAGCTTCTAACGTTAATTTTATTGTTTGAGAAGTGACTATAAATTGGGTCGAGTACAAGCATGAGCAGTTTGATACAGTACAAATGATTGGTTACGTAATACTGTGTATCTCTTAAAAATTATCGTTTACAATATTTGGCATGTACAGTAATATGTTAGTAAAATAACGGAAAACATAATCTCACTTAAACTAGAAACGTGAATACGTATACGATTTAAGCGATTTTAATCAGTGGCTAATTTAGATATAAAGATTAATAAATGTTCTTTGCAATACTGAATAAATTAACATTAATGAAATACTGAACGACTGATGTGTTCACACAAGATCATCCAGTATTGTTACTAGTTTAAGCCCAAAATTGTTTAGTCATCAAAAACAAATTTCCTAATTTATTGATGATAATAGCGTTTAGCATGAATTGATAAGATGATCTTTATGCGCCAAAACTTTTTTAAAATTTTTATTGAGTCAATTTACAAATTTTTTTGTACGTATATGATTGGCTGAAGCTGAGAAGAGCAAAGTAAAACCTTTCAAGCCTTACTTTCGAAATTGTCGAAGTGTCAGTTAGTTTGTAGGCGAAACTATTCTTCAATTTCACCTTACAATTTTGATGTGCAAAATTGGTTCAACTGATCCTGATTTTTGTTTAGCATCTCAGAAATTGAGATTAGGTTCATGATTTGGTTACCGAAATGGTAATTTAAAAAATATATCGTAATAGCTGCCTAATATAGAATTAAAATATAATACGTAGTGAGCTTTAATATAAAAATTTAACTTCTATCAAAAAGGTACGTAATTTTTAAATTCTTACCAAGTTGTTGGTCTGAAATCTATATTTGGAATACAGATTGAATATCATATTGTGAAATCAAAATATAATCGGTCCCAACTTATAAGAGTACTATAGATTTTGCTCTCTATAAATGCACACCCTCTCTAAGTGCACACTTTTCCTTTTTTTTTTTTTCTATGGTCCCGAGGGGGTGCACTTAGGAAGATCTGACTGTATAAAAAACTGAATTTTTTTTGCCTCAAAAATTTTTAATTAATCAAAATAGGAAATAAGAATTAAGCCTCCAATCGTCGTTATTTAAATGGGTTTTGTTTTAAAAAAAAAAAAAAATTTAATTTTAATTATAATATTAAAAAAAAAAAATCATGAAATTGGTTGATAATCCTGACGATATGCTACTTTTAGTAGATTAGGTTTCATTATGCAAGATGTAAATGCGCATTATCGTTATATGTATAAAAAATATCATATTCAGGAAATTGGCTTTTTTATTACGTAGAAATAGTAGAAATAACGATAATGCATATGGGCATACTCTAAATAGGAGGAAGGCGTTCTTATACGATAACTTTCTAGAAAAAAAAATAATAATTAACTCTTTAATTGTTGAGAATTACGTAAGTAATGCATGTTACCATTAATATTCCTATGGATGCGCATTATTTGGAATTCATGCACATGAATAGGATTCATGTGAATGATTCCGAATCATGCATGCGCTTTTATCCCATTATATAGGTCTCAAGATTAAATTTCAATATATATTTTACTCCCATTAATCATATAGATTATCTTTTAATTTCTTGTCACTCTCCTAGGGTTAGTTGCCGAAAGTGCATACTTTCGGCATTACCAAAATCGATATCATTTTCGAATGAATCAAAAGTCAAAAAGTGCTACGAAAGCTAAAATGCTACCGAAAGTCAAAGACTATAGAAAGTCTCATATTTTTTTATAATATGGGGGTGAGTAAATAGAAATCAAGCAAATCGTTTTTATTGAATTTTTTTTGAACTTTAACTCAACAAAAACTTTATCAAATTTAATAAAAATTTTTTTAAATGGATTCTATAATTTGTAATATTTATTTTAAAAAATTTTTTATTAATTTTGATTAAGTTTTTGTTAAGTTATTGTGGTTAAAGTTTCAAAAAAATTTACTTAGAAAAAATTTGCTTGATTTCTATTGACTCAATCTCATATAGATGCTTTCCATTATTTTTTAATTTACAATATGCTAAATTTTTTTTGTAACAATTATAAGTTTTATGCAGTTCACTAACAAATAACTTTATATTAATGATTCTTCTTTTTAAAATCTAAGATTTTTAAACTTTAGCGCAAATTTCTTTCTAGAAAAAAAATTTTATCGAAATATAATCAAGTATTTATTGAGAAATCTTCAAATATCTTAATATTTTTAGCATTTCGTCATGCATCTTTCGAAGCCTTATTGGAATGCATTTTTGTTAACTGCATCTATAAATTAAAAATTATGCAGAACATCTATACTAATGAAATTTTGGACTTTAATATTTTAACTTTAGGTAACATTTTCGATTTTCAGTAGCACTTTTGGCTTTCGGCTTATA